TGTTTCCCGGCATGCCTCGTGGCGGGGTTTGGACAGTCTTTGGCGGTGGGTGGGGCCGGCGCCCTCGTGACGCAGCGTGGAGGGCGTCCGATGGGCCCACTTCCCGTGGACGGTGGCAAGGGCTGGCGGGGCCCCAGTTCCGGGAGAGGGGCATTAACCGGTAGAGCTGGGCATTCAGGGCACTGCCCCTCGGCCAGGCGCTCGCCAGGGGAAGTCAGCTGCAGGCCTGGGGTGAGGACCAGCACCGCCCCGGGCTCCAGGCCGACAGCGGAGTCCGAGCCAGCTGCAGCCGCCCCGTCCGAGGGGGCAGGGGCACCCGAGGGTCCCCGATTTGTGGGATGACTCAGGGCCTGCCACTGGGCAGTTAGAGATGCAGCTCCAGCCCACTGCCCCCCCCCCCCATTGTACGGGCCTGGAGGTGCCAGGAGCAACCCTGTCGCGGGGAGCTCACCATCTGTATGGACAGTGGGGGGGGGGGGGGATGGACAGCGGCTCAGAGTGGGGGCAGGATGTGGCCGAACTCACCCAGTGCCCTCCCCACTGGGCCTCACCCCCTCCCTGCAGCTGCTTGCGTGGGGCTGTAACAAAGGCTCCCCCCGCCCCCGGTGCAGTGCTGGGGGTTGGATTCTCTCGCCCCCCCTCCCCCCATCAAACTGGTGTTTGTGTGAAGAGGGTTTTGTACAGGAAGAGCCGTGTGTTGGCAACCGTGTGTCCAATAAATGTTTTTTTACGTGGTGCAGAGGGCTGCTGCTGGGGGGGGGATTGGGGGGCTGCTCGGGGGCATTAGCCGACCCCCCCGCTCTGGTCGGGGAAGATGCTGAGCCGGGTGCCGGGGAGGCCACGACTGCGTAAGTGGCAGCAGAGCAGTGACGTGTTCCTAAGGGGCTGGCGAGCCCAGGCCAGAGCCCCGCAGAGAACCCAGGAGTCCTGGCTCCTAGAGCTGCCATTTGTTTCGCAACAGGGAGAAGGAAAACTGGCGGCTGCAGCGGGCGCACGTTCACTGGGCACCGCGAGGGGAGGAAACCACAGGCCGGGAGGCCAGTCTCGCCCGCTGCCCTGGGGAGACAGTTCCCCTTTGGGGCTGGCCCCTGGCCCGTACCAAGCTGCACAGGATGCAGATGTCGCTCCGGGGGCTGGGACGAGCGCGGGGTGGGGGCGGGGTGCAAAGGCAGCAGGGTCTTGGCCACCTCTTGGCAGCAGCGGCTGGGGGACGGCAGGGCCGAGCCCTGGGCCCCGGGGGTTCAAGGGGCGACGCGGGGCAGGGGCCAGGCTGAGCGCTGAAGCTCAGGGCTCCCTGGGGTGCTAGCCCCACCGCGGCCTGTACCTCTCCCTGGGAGCGGCTGGGGCAGCCCCCGCCCCCGCCCAGGGCTGTGCAGAGGAAGGTTCGCTGCCTGCTATGTAAATGGCCTACCCTGAAAGTACCTGCTGCGAGCAGCTCTAGGCTGGGTTTGAGTCAGCCCCTTCCCCGCAGAGCCCAGAATAGCAGGCGGGGGCGGCTGACAGGTGAGCGAGCGGCCTTCTGCCCCCAGGGTGAGGGTTCACACAGCCAGGCCCCCAAGCTGGGAACCAGCCTCAAACACCCCCCCACGCTCTGTGCCTCGGGAAAAGGGTTCGCCATTGTGCTCACGGGGAGCTGAACCATTCTGCCAACCTGGCCCCCCCAGGAGCAGCAGGAACTCACACAGCTTCCAGCCTTGGCCAGACAGCAGGCGGGCGCCTGGGCTCCGTGGGGGGAACTGCCCAGCCCGGTACGATCCCCCCTGGGTGGAACAGAGGCGTCGCTGTGCCAGAGCTGAGCCTCCAGCGGCCATGGGCCCAGACTGGCTAACGCAGAGCGGGTTCTTCCACAGCGACGCTGCCGGCCCCAGCCGCACAAAGCCTGAGCCCAGAGGTAAAGCCAGATTGACCCCAGGCTAGCCGCAGAATCCAGCTCATGCCAGCTGCGTGAGTTGTGTGTCGCTCACTTCTGTGCACACATTTTGTAAGACACGAAGTTCCCCAAGTGAGGGTGAGAGCAGGAAGCTGACTAACCCCGTCTCTGCAGCAGAGGCGCTGAAAAGGGAGAAGGACAGATTTTTTTTTCCTTAGTGCTGATGCAAATCAGAAAATCCAAAGCCTTGCCACTGATTTCAATGGGCTTGGGACCAGGCCCCACTGCAAAGATGCAATCAAGCACTTATTGCAAATGCAGCGCTAGCAAGTGTCTCTTCTGCCCAGGCCTCAGCAACACGCAGACGCTGGGCCAGGCTTTTCCTTGAAGTGACAGTTTCTTTCCTCCGAGCACCATGGCTGCAAGCAGCCTTGAGTCAGTTCTCACCCGACGTCATAAAACCACCTCGGGCAACATCATAAATACTTTAAAAACAATGAATACAGACAAGCAGCTGGTTAAAGACACCGTCTCCAAAGATCAAAGGTCTAACACTGGCTATGCAGCCCCATGGGGCACAGCTGTGCTAACAGCCGACCCAAAGAAAGCATGACGACCTGCCGGGATGCTCTGCCCGTCTCTTGCCCAACCCAGGAGCGTCTCCGAGAGCTTTGGTCCAGCTGGCCGCTTCCCGGGAGCAGGGCTGGCTCCAGCACCAGCTTGGCAAGCAGGTGCTTGGGGCGGCCGCTCCGGAGAGGGGCGGCAGGTCCAGCTATTCGGTGGACGGTCCCACACTGCCGGTTGGAGCGAAGGACCTTCCGCCGAATTGCCGCCGCAGATCGCAGCCTTTTTTTTTTTTGGCTGCTTGGGGTGGCCCAAACCCTGGAGCTGGCCCTGCCTGGGAGGCACGCGAGCTGCATGCACATGCTAACTGGACTCCCCTGGCTCGCTTGGGGAAGGGGATTCGATTCCGTCAGAGGGGCAAAGGCACTTAGGGCTTGTCCTCTTGGCAGAGCTAATGCACATGTCCCCCCACCCACCCCCCCGCACGCGAGGGTGTTGGTGCGTTGCCCGGAGGTGGCTGGCACAGGGTAAATGGAGCGGAGCTAACTCCGCATTGAGGACAGAGCCTCAGCCTGGAGTGACCACAGCTGGCCGGCCTGTGTCTCCGGCCACGCTCCAGCAGGGAGAACCTGCCTGGGAACTCCTCAGGACATGCAACTAAGGGGAACATTTTCCTTCCTTGCCTGGTCCCACCCTGTACTGCAGAGTCCTCGCCACACGGTGGCAGTGTTGACCCAAGCACTAATTGGCCCCTTTCTGGTCTCTGCCCACCCCAGGGTGCAGGGATGACGGGGGAGCCCCTGGCTCTGTGTAGGGGGCAGAGCAGTGGGGAGGGGGCGGCCGCCGGGGGATTGGGGGCTCTGCTGGCAGTTTGCATCCCCTGCCAGGCACCAAGTCAGCAAAGCAGGTGCTAACCTGAGCCCCGACCAGCCGGGGGGCTTTGCTGAAGCAAGGCCTGGCAGAACGAAGCCCAGTGCCGGACGGCGGCAGCGCCAGCTCCCAGGGGTTTACTCCTGTTCCCGGGGGGCAGCACCTGAAACGACTGGAACCGACTTGGGGCTTGTGGCTCCGGGACCAGGCCCCGTTACAGGGAGAAAGCCAGAGTGCGGGTCCTGCTGCCCCTCAGTCAGGCCCCACTGGAGCAGGCAGGCAAGCGGCTAGGCTTACAGAGTACGTAACGCCGTGTGCCCCCCTTCCATCAGGCAAGTCCTCGTTCAGGCACTGTCAGCAGTACGGGCAGGGCACAGGCCCCTGGGAACGGGCCCAAGGGGCACCCCGGAACGCCCCCTCTGTCAAATGCTGCTCCCGGAGGAAAACCGTAGGGGACTTCCCCGCAGAGGGCATGTGAAGAGCCCCAGGCTGAATGGGAGTGACGTCATTCGAAGCCGGGACTCGGCCCATCTAATTACCCTATGGGGACGTGAAAGCATGTCAGAAAAATGCCCTTCCCGCGACCTAGTGCAAGACCTGCCGGGGGGGGACCATTACCAACTGCCGGGCGGGGGCCTGGCCATTACCACTTGCCAGGGTGTGTGTCTTGCACTACCCGAACACAGAGGCTGCCCTCCACTCCTACCGCCAGGCTCCTATCCAGCCAGCTCCTGGCTCGCTGGCTTTCACGGCCTGGGTCCCCGCCACGAGGGCCGTCACTCACCCCACAGGCCTGGGCCAGAACAGCAGCGTTTTGGGCCGGGCGAAGAGGAAGCCAAGGTGGCAATTGGGAACAGCAGCGGATCCCTTTCCCATTTGTCACACGCATCCTGCCCCTATGCTGAGGTGGTCCAACCAGCCTGCCAAGCCTACTGCCCACCTGGGGAAGCTGAGAATTCGCTGGGGAGATCACGTAACCCACGGGGCAGTCGGCTGCAGACTCAGTATTGGACAGCGCCGGCTGCAGGCGTTTGGCCCTGGCTTTGGGCTACGCCAGGGGCGGGGAAGACTGGAGGGGAGAGAAGGCTTGGAGGGGGAATGACCTTGCAGCGGAGGGTCACAAGGATGCTCCCAGCAGGGAGACACCGTGCGGTCCAGTCAAACATCTTGCGCTGGACAGAAAGCAGGGGGGTAAAGGGGCCTCCCGGGGTGCGGGAGACTCAGGGAAGCAGAACGGCTGCCCAGGGTGCCAGTGGAGCCGGGCCCCAGCTGCCCACAACCATCAGAGACCCCAGGAAGCCAAAGGGGACGTCACCCTCCCAGACAGTGGCCAGGAGCCAGCGGGGGAGGAGCTCTGGCCTGTGCCAGGCCTTGAAGGGGATTGGGACCAGGAGCAGCTGCTCGGCACCATGCCCATTGCTGCCCAGGGTCACGCTGACAAAGTCCCAGGCAGCGCAGGGTCACCCCCCCGGAGCAGGCCATTGGGAGACAGGCTAGCGGGCCAGCCGGCCTGCGGGACGATCCGCTTCGGCAATCCCAACATCCCTTTATACTGACACCAAAGCCTGGCAGCTCCGGCTCTGTGCAGGGCCCAGGGGGCTCTCCGTGGGGCAGAGCGTTCCCAGACTGCAGCCCCTGCTAGGCAACGGGGGCGCCGTCCTGCAGACAGCGACCAGGCCCTGGCTGGAACGAGATCAGACATGCTGGGGAGCGGGGTCTTTGACTCTGCCCAGGGTGGGCCCCGGAGCGCTTGCCGCTCCCGCGATGCACCTGGCTCCACGCACGAGCCCGCCCGGCCCTCTGGCTGCCCCGAAGTCCGTGGCGAAGCCCCAGGCAGCTGGCTGGGCACGGCCGCGCTAATGCAGCTTGCTGTGCACGGGGTGCAGCAGGGTCATGTGCTCCGCCCCTTTGAAGGGCAGCTTCTCTGTGGAGTAGTGATGCACCACTTCGGGGACGCTGCCGAAGACCCCGCTGGTCTGGCTCAGTGTGTACTTGTTGTCCTTGGTCTGGGCCACGATGATGTGGACGCATCCCTGACTGGTCCTGCAGCAAAGCCATGGGGGGGTGGGGTGGGGGGGAGGAGATCAGATGTGCTGGGGAGTGACCGCGGGGGGGCTCCCTGGGCCCCACGTGCTACAGCCAGCACTGACCTTAGTCCTTGCTCTGGCTCCTCACGTATGAAACCTCGCAAGGCCCGAGCAGCTTCATTATCCCCACTGTGCAGAGGGGAAACTGAGGCACGGTGAGGCTCGGCCTCAGCAAGTTAGTGGCCGACCCAGGAGTCCTGGCTCCCAAGCACTTGAATTCACTCCCCCTCCGGAGCCAGGAAGAAAACCCAGGGGGAGTCTTGGCTCCTGACCACCAGGCCCCTCCCAGAGTTGTAAATAGAACCCAGGAGTCCTGGCTCCAAGTGCCCTGCTCCCCCCACACTGGGGACTGAAGGGTGACCCCAGAGCAGCAGTGACTGGCTCCAGAGGGAAACTTCTCCATGGATCAGACCCAACGGGAACTGCTGGGTGCAGAGCTACAGGCCGGCTCCTTGTCCAGTGTGCTGCCCTGGGGGCAGGGGGTGTTTCCCGGGATACAGCCCTGGGCACCACCACCTCCAGGCTCTGCCTGCTAGCCCTGCTGCCAGGGCCTGGCTCTCTGCTGCCTGCCCCACCGCTTCCCAGGCCAGAGCGACACCATCGTCCCCGCCAGGCGTGACGGGAGCAGCCGCACGAGGCGCTGGCGAGTCCCTGGGTACGTTCCCCGTTTCCCTGGGCTGGGCCCGGCTAGGGGCTGCCCAGGGCCATTCCGGCCCCACGGTCGCCTCGTCACCAGCCCAGCCCCTGTTTGTTCCCTTCCCTGCTCCGATTGTTTCGGCTCCAGGGGCTCCACTTCCTCAGGAAGGAAACGCCGCCAGCACTGCCGACAACGATCCTCCAGCGCTGCGCCAGAGAGCCAGGGGCCGGGCACTGCCGCGACCCGGGCCGGCCCTCGGGGCCGCGCCTCCCAGGACACAGCCAGCAACAGGGAGGCCGAGGGGGGCGTGGGGCCTATGCCCCATGCCTGGCACGGGGGCTTCCCACAGTGCTCCACGCCCACAAGGCCTGGAATCCAAGGGGGTCAGGCTGCTCTCCAGAGACCCTTCAGCCCAGGAAAGGTGTTTCTGTAAGGCAGCCCCACAGGCCTGTGCTTCCCACAGAGCCCTCCCAGAATGCCTGGGTCCTATTTCCGGCTCAGGGAGGGGAGTGGGGTCCAGTGAGGGGCTGGGAGCCAGGACTCCTGGGTTCTCTACCTGGGAAGGGAGTGGGGTGCAGTGCTTAGAGCTGGGAGCCAGGACTCCTGGGTTCTATCTGTGGCCCAGGGAGGGGTGTGGGGTCTAGTAGTGGCCAGTGCAAGGTGCCCGTTATGCCCCGGGACACGACCGCCCCAGGGGTGTCGCCCCCCCACGTTTTATCCCATTTCGATGGATCCCAACCTCTGCCCTGCCAGCTGAGAACCTCCTGGCCACAGGGGAGCCGTATCCCCCAGCCAGCCCCATCCAATGCCCCCGAGGTTGGGGCCCTGATCTCTGCTGCGCCTGCCCCCTGCAGGCAAACGTCGCCCCTACTTACTTGAGCGCGATGGAGTATTTGCCATTCCCCGTCTCGCTGGTCCGCACCAGGTAACCGGCCTCTTTGCAGGGCTGCAACCGGCTCTCGGCCTCGGCCCGGGTGATGGCTCCATGGTACCAGCTGTGAGGAGCAGAGAACGGGCTGGGTTTCTGAGCATGTCCTGCAGGGCCCGAGTCCTGGCTCTGTGGGGTTACAGGGACCCCTCATGTGCTGGTTGGAGGGGGGGCGGTTAGCTCTGGAGGTGCATGGCAGGGCACAGGCTCCATCTTTCCTCTCACGTTAGTAAAAGGCACCTGCTTTGCCCAGCATGTCTCGGGAAGCAGGGCTGGGCCCTGGGGGGCGGGATGCATTTAAGGGCTGGGTGTCCAGGCCATCGGAGGCTGATAATCTCATTAGCCTTAGGAAGTGGCTGGAGCTCCTGGGATGGGAGGAGACGGGGCCAGGAGAGGGCCCAGCGAACTGCGGATCCCACTGGAATCCCAACCCTGGGGCTGGCCCAGAGCCACCGCTCAGCTCCTCCGCTTCCTTGTTCCAAAGCCAAGATTTGGAGGCAGGGGGAGGAGAGAAAAATTGATTTCCCCAAGCAAGCGGGGAGAGCCTGGGGCAGAGGGGTCGAGACGAGGGACACCCCGACGCCCTCGGAGGGACAGGCTGGTGGGAAGGGGCAACGGCGAACCAAAGTCACAATGCAGCCTCGTTTTGTTTGGGAAGCTCCTGGGATGCAGGGCTGGGCAGGGGAGGGGGGGTCGGGCAAGAGGGTGGGCAGGAGGGGGGCAGGCGTGGGGCTGGGCAGGAGAGGGGGGGCGGGGCTTACGGCTGCTTCTCCAGCGCCAGGGCTGGGTCCACTCGCTCGCCCTCGCCGTGGTCTGGGAGCGTCGGCTTCAGGGTCTTGGGAGTCCAGCTCTTCTGGCGATGGTGCTGCCGCAGCGCCTCGTCCTTGGGGGCGCCCGCCCGCTCTGCTCCCTCAAACTGGACTGGAAGGAAGGGCTCCGTTCGCCGATCGGCAATGGGGAGAAGTGCCCGACTCTCCCCACCTTGACCCAGCCTGAACGGGCCACGCTCCTCTCCCTCGTGCTCGCCCTACCTCAGCTCCCGGGCTTCCCCAGCCCAGATTCTCTCCAGCAGCTCGGGAGCCCAGATCCCCTCCTCACCCCCAAGGACGGGCCCCGGGGCCCCTGCCAGGGGGAGGGCGCTGCCCACTGGACACGGGCACCGCATGGCGTGGACGGACACCCTGGCGTATTGCTAAGAGAGCCAGTCCCTGGCCTCTGCTAGCAGGAGAGTGGGGCAGCTCCCCATGGCAGCCTGGGGCCACGCGGAAACCAGAGCGACCCCACGGCTGCTCCCCTGCAGCCCTGAGAGCAGGCTCCAGGCATATGGAGGCCATATGCCTCTGTCATCTGCAGGCCCACCGCCCCGCCCGCCCCAGAGTCCCCAGTACCCCACCAGCCAGCGCCTTCTCCCCCCCGCCCCCCGCTGGCCAGTGCCCCACAGCCCCACCCCCTACCTGACAGAGCCTTCACTATCTGCTCCTTCTTCCACTCCCAGGGCTGCTCGTACTCCGCGGCAGGGCGCTCGTCGTTCTCCGGGAGCCGGCTGTCCACCACCCGCGCCCTCCTGTCCTGCAGGGTGCTGGCCGGCGCCTCCCCGGGCTCATAGGGGGTGTCATAGAGCTGCGGCGGGGCCTTCCCCAGCTGCTCCTTGGAGCCCTGCCGCTTGGGTGCCGCGTCCGGCCGGGGGCCGCCCTCCCCCGGCTCCCCGGGCCCGTCCAGCAGCAGGATGGCTTTGACCAGCGGGTCCTTGGAGCCCCGCCTGCGGATTTCTGAAAGGCCAGGGGAGAACCAGAGTCAGGCAGCCCCCCAGAGCCCTGCAAGCAGAGCGGGGGGAGAGGGCAGCAAGGGGGGCCTGCCCCCCCGCCCCATAATAATGCCCAGGTGACCCCCAGACCCAAAGGTGGGGGTGAACACCCTGGAACCTGCAATGTCAGGGCTCAATCCAACACGCCCCGCCCTGGGAGACTCCCACGGGCTCCCGCAGGCGCTGGCCAGGCCAGTACTCAAGGGCTGACCCAAGCTGGTCCTGGGAACACCCCGGCTCTGCAAAGCCAAGCTCCAGGGGGCAGGGGATTGACGCTGCTTTGTGGGACATCGGCACATGGAGCTGGGAGGGCGAGGTGCTGTCCCTGAATGCTATGGGGCTGGGAAGACAAGTCCTAGCCGTGGGGCTGGGAAGAGGGCGTGTCCCCCAGGGCTCAGCACTGGGGTACCGATGAGTGCCAGGGTAGGACTGGGGTCTCTCTGCCCCTCCCCAAGGCGCCGCGGGAACAGAAACAATCCTGGAGCTGCAAAGGGATCCTTCCTGCTGGGAGAATGGAGTGGGACGTGCGGACGGGCTCCCGGAGGAAACGCAGGCAGGAAGCTACGCCCTGGCTGTCCGATAGGAGCCCCTGCGCCGGGGCAGGCCAGCGGGCGCAGCGAAGCAGGGCTGGGATCATGCTCGGGACATGCATGCAGCTGGCCAGGGGCTGGGGACTCGCCCCGGGCCCCCATCACGGGCCCCCCTCCATGTTCACACTCAGCACCGGGACCCTTATCCCCCAAGTCACGGAGCTGAGCTGCTCCCCGGCGAGAAGGGGGCCCAGGGCCGAACTCCCTCATCCGGGAGGGGCAGGCATGTGAACCCGCTGTGGGCAGCATGGGGCAGGGACCCTGCCCAGCGCCTACCAAACAGGAGCCCACCCTGCGGCCGGGGCCCACGCGGGCACAGCCGAGCCATCAATAAAACCACCCGCCCGCCCGCCCCCAACCCTTCTCCGTCCACCGCGAACCCCGACGCCCCAGGCCTGACAAAGTGCTCTGCATGGAAAAAACCCATCAGCCAGCAGCAAATCTTTCATTTCCAGCTTCCGCTCCACTCGTTTCCTGTTATTCCGCCCAGCTGCTTGGCCGGGGCGAGCCGGGGCCCAGCGCAGCGCGGCACTGACTTGGGGGGGCTGTGCTGGGAGCCGGGCAGCCAAACACGCCGGGTTGCTAGGCGCCCGTGGGATGTATTTTTCAAAGGGCAGCGGGAGAAAGTTGCTGCTCGGGGGCTTGGCTGTAAATTACCGCGATTCCCTGGGCTCGAGGGAACCGCAGAGCTCCCAGATATTCCCCGTGCCCCCGCTGCTGCCCCTCGGACAGCCCGGGAGAGCTACCACCCTCAGCACGCTGCCCACAGAGACGCCCTGGGGAACCTCGGAGGTGAAAGCGTGAGATGTGCTGAGACAGCTCACGCAGCGGCTCTGCCAGCACCCCTCCAACCTGACCCACAGCCCCTCCTCTGGCCCAGCCCGGGGCACCCCACCCAGCTCTGCCAGTGCCCCTCACTCCCGACCCGCAGCCCCTCCTCTGGCCCAGCCCGGGGCACCCCACCCAGCTCTGCCAGTGCCCCTCACTCCCGACCCACAGCCCCTCCTCTGGCCCAGCCCGGGGCACCCTGGCTCTGCTGAAGCCCTGCAATTTGACCAGTGGAAGCTGCAGCTCTCCAGGCCTGGACTCTCCAGATGGACACACCCTGGGTTTGGGACGGCGCCAAGCCCCCGACTGACAGAGTCCCTATGCACTTGCTCCAGCCCCACCGACTGGGGCGAGACTCGGGTGTGGGCCCAGAATCGGGGCAGGGAACCCGGCAGCGATCAGGACGGACTCGAAGGCTCCAGCCGCAAACAGCCCCGGGTACCTAACTCTGCTCCCCCCTGCAGGTCACCCCCCCTTCTCCCCAAGGCGTTGCCCACCCAGCAGAGCGGACTCACGGGCACCGATTACCACCCGCACCCTGCCCCAGAGGTACTGCAGTGCGAGTTGCCACGTGCCCAGCATGCCAGCTGGGGGGGGCGGGGGCGGACACACCCCTTTGCTGTGCTAGTCACTTTGCAAATACACCAGTGTCCCCTGACTACCCCAGACCTGACCCACAGCCAGGCACCAATCGGGTCTTCCATGGGCGTTAGCAGTAGCCCGGGGAATTCAAAGCTCCTTCGTGCACTCACGCCGTGCGAGCTTTGCAGTCCCTGGGAGTCCACGTGCGACGCTCCAAGCCTCCCCTGAGACAGGCCCCAGCCGCCCCCCAGGTCAGTGACCGAAGGCAGAGACAGGCCCCCACCCCCAGGGAGCACTGGGAACGAAGAGCCCCGGTGGGCCGGCACAGGGCGAAGGCAGGAGCCAGCCAGCTCACCGGATGGGGAAGGAGCCCGGCGCGCGCTGGGGCTGTCGCTGGCCAGGCGTTTGTGCAGCGGAGCTGAGCCGGCCGGCCTAGTAACACAGGCGAGAGCGGGGAGGGAACCGAACCGGCCCAGGCCCAGGCGGACACAGCTCTGGAGCCTGCCCCACCCTTGGCCAAGGCCAAGGACTCCAGGTACGATGGGAGCTCTGAATGCCAGGATCGGGCCCATCGCGAGGGATTCCCCGTTTCATTCCCCTCTTCTCCGCCCTGGGGGCTGCTCGTTTCACTTCCCTTCACTGAGGGACGTGAGCGGAGGTCAGAGTCCATCGGCCCCCGGGTCAGGCCCTGGCCAGAGCCCGCTCAACTCCTTATCTCTCCCCGCAGAGCAACAGGAAACAGAAGAGCCGGCTTCCTGCTCCAGCTCGGTTTCGTTTCCACAGGGCTGCTACAGGGATGGAGTCTGCCCAGCCTGGAGCAATCCCACATCGTACCCAGCTCCACGGCTTCAGGGGTGGGTCTTTAACATCTGCAAATATCCCCCCTGCAGAGAACCTCATGCCACTTGAATGAGCCTCCCCCATTCGGCAGGGGGCAGATTTAAATATCCAATTTCAACATTGACCCGTCCCGCCCCGAGTTTCCCTTTTCCCGGGGTCAAATTGGCATTCGCCAGCCCCGCCGGGATCCCCGGCCACGCACCCGTTATCATCTGCTGCGCGTCGTAGGGCTCCATGTACCCGTCGTTCTCCCCCAGCCGCTCCGCCTCCCGCTGGCCCTTGGTGTGCTTGGCGTCGTACGGGTCGGCGTAGTCCTCCAGAATGATGACCTGCGGGGGGCAAAGAGTTCCCAACACGCTGGCCAGGACAACCACAAGCCCCCTAAGGGCCACAGCACCAGCGCGCCCAGTTATGGGGTGGGAGGGCCCGTGTTTCCAGCGGTGCTGGGCCCCACAGCGCCCCACACCTTCAACCAGAGAGCTCAGCAGCACCCCTGCCAGCTCCAAGCCCTGCTTCACTGCCACTGGTACTGCTGGCACAACCGTGCGACACGACTGTGTTCACACGCACGGTGACAGGAATGCTTCACGGTTGGAGACAATATAATCCCAGCGGAATCAGAAGCTGGTAGGGACAGAGAGACGAGGTGGTGTGGCCTGGTGGGGAGGGCCCTGGACTAGAACCTAGACCTGGCTTCTATCCCCTGCCCTGCCCCTGCCCTGCTGGGTAGCCTTGGGCAAGTCCCTTCCCCCCTCTCTGCCTCAGTTTCTCCTCCCACACTTTGCCTGTTCAGACCCATGAGCCCTCTCTCACGATGCATCCCAACGACACCGCAGCCAACACACAGGGAGCTCCCAGGGCAGACCAGGCAGCCTGTAGCCGTCACAGATGCTGGCCGGTCGTGGTGATGCTAGCGGGGAGCCTGCTAACGCACATGACAACCACAATGGCCTTGTGCCCACGGGGATCGTGGCAGCACGGCAGTGTCCCTGGAGAAGACAAGGCCTCTGCATCGGTGCAGCGCCCAGCACACCGCAGCCCCCTGAATTCGAGACCCGCGTGGGTTCCAGGCAGTGGGGGGCGCCCAGGCGAAGGCTCTTGTACCAGCGGGGGCAGAGGGTAGGGGATTAATGAGGCCATTGGCTGCAGAAGCCAACGGGCTGTGGGGGGGAGTCTGTGGGTCAGGGCTGACCAGCCATGGGCACTCTGTCTGGGCAGCAGGAGAGCTGCAGGTCGGGACCACGGTTCAGGCCAGCGCTGACAGGGGCTCTCCGATTCCAGGACGTAGGCGCTTTATTTAGCTAAACCGCAGCCCCTAGCCCAGCGTGTCCCACTTCCCAGCAAACGGGGTCCTTCCAACCAGACTTTTCATAACGAGCAGCCCCGCCAGCAGGGACTAACGAGGTCAGCGTGGGATCAGTTAGCAGGGGGACAGAGCGCCTATTCTCCCTCTGGCCGATTACAGCGAGGTTGGGATCAAGGGAATTAGGAAAGGGCTCCGAGCCGGGCTAATCAGCTGAGCCCACAGCATTGAAAGCCGCCTCCTGCTCTGGGGTCCCTCATTTCCCAGGATCCGGGGAGAGGGAATGAGAACGTGACCTGCCCAATGCCACGCACCAGAGCTCTGCCAAGCACAGGGGCAGCCGCTCTCCCAGGGGGCGCTGGCTCCCTCGAGGCACCAGTACTTGGCCGAAGCGAACGGGGTTTTCATCCATCCGGCAGGGCAGCACTGTCCCCTCCCAGGCACAGGGCAGGCTCAGGGTACGCAGCCCCTGCGTCCTGACCGCGGGTTAGCAGCGGGAGTTAAAGCCCAGAGGGCGGCCTGCGGGCGAACCCGCACTGCTAACGCCCGTTAAAAGCGGAGCGGCCGTGTCTTCCCGGGGGGCTGACCCCGAGTTAAGAACAGCCATTTGCTGCCGTGTAGACGCCCCTGGGTGAGTTGCCCAAGCCCACACAACAGCTCCCGTGAGCGCCAGCCCTGGGCGCTACCCGCTAGGCCACGGCCCCTTACCGTCTCCTGTTTAGGGGTCTTGCCCTTGTCCTCCTCCGGCGCCGGGCTGGGCGCTGGGCTACCGCTGGGGTAGCTTTTCCCATTCTTCTCATGGGCGTCCACCTTGATGAGCCGGTTCATGTAGGTGCTGCAGCCGGGGCCCTTGGGGGCGCCCTCCTGGGGGCTGCCTTCAGCCCGTGAGTTCTTGCGCATCTTGCCCGTGGCGGCCTGGATCAGCCCCTGCAGGTTGTCCCGGGACAGCCTGCTGCCGCCATCCTTGCCGGGCCCCGGAGCCGCCCGGCAGCCCCCCAGCTCGGCCGCCGAGTTCTTGTGGTTTTTGCCCTGCACTGGGCCGGGGCCCGGCTCGGCGGGGCCCAGGGGCTTCCGGGAGGCGCTGCCCAGCTTGCCCAAGCTCCCGCTGCCCGGCCTGGCCCGCTCCGAAGCCGTCTTCAGACTGGAGGGGAACTCCCTGAACCACTTGGCCGCCATGGGGCGGGGGGGCTGCCGGCTGCCGGGCTATGGCTGGGAGATGCCGGGGAGGGGGCTGTGACCTTTGGTGGGGAGGGGGGGCTCTGGAGTCTGGTGGCTGGGGGGAGGGCGCGTGCCCCACCCGCGGGGGAGCTCCGTGCCAGCAGGGGATGCGGGTGGGGAGAAGGGGGGGTCCTGCTTCCCCCCGCCCCCGGTAAATCACAGTCCCGGCGTGGGGGGGAGAGTCAGGGCAAGGGGGCCCCCATTGCAGAGGTGGGGAGCGGGAGTCACTCGTGGGGGGGGGCTGGTCCTTAACCCATGGGGGTGCAGCGGGAGGGGGAGACAATGTCACCTGCAGGAGAAGGGGGGTGGGGAGCCTCCTTCGCCGGGGGGGCAGATGGGGTCGCTCCAGGTCCGTCGCCCCGCCCCGGGGGCCCCACGAAGCGCTGCTGGGCGCCCCGAGGCCTGGAGGGGGTCTGCGGGGGCGCAGCGCAGCGGGGGCGGCTCCGTGTCTCCTGCGCCTCGCTCCCTGCAGCTCCGCGGCCGCCGGCCAGCGCTGCCCGGGCTCCCCGCCCAGATCCCGGAGAGGGCGGCGCAGGGGGGAGGGGGGACCGCCTGCAGAGAGCTGCCCCCGCGCGAGGGGGCGCAACCTGCCGCGCAGGGAGCAGGGCGATTTCCAGCGGCGTCGGGGCGCGCGCGCTGTGCGGTCAGTGCGCTGCGCGCTTTGCCGCCGGGCCCGCTTTGTAAATCAGCGCGAAGCCTCTGCGCGCGCGGGTGATCATTACACACTGCGCCCAACGGGCACGACTGCGAGTCAGCGCGCGGAGCCCTGGGGCCCCCGCGCAACGGCTGCAGCTGGTGCACGGGGGGGGGGTCGCCCCGCCGGCTTTGCACGCAGGCAGTGAACGTGCAAGCAGCGCGGGCAAACGCCACATGTCCGGACTAATTGCAATTAGCAGCGGCGCCGCTTGCACCCGGGTACTAGGGGCTCCGGAGCGGGGCCGGCTCGTGCTCCCCGGGGGGGGCGGTTCATCCCGCCCGCCAGGTTTGCACCCCGGGGCCGGGCCATGGGGCCGGCTTGGCCCTGCCCCGGCGGCTGCAGGGCCCCGATAGGTGCCCGGGACTCGGGGGCTGGTTGCGGCCAGGGCCGGGGCTGA